GGATGGGTACGCCCGCGAGCCTCGGTAAGGCCTTGCGGATGTGATCCCCCCCCCGCCCCTTTGTGGTCGTTGTTGTGTGGGCTTGGCGTGGTGGTAGGTGTCGGTGCCCCCTCCCCCACCGTTGGGCGTGTGTTGGTTCGTCGTTGTCGTCGTCGTCTTTCGTCCTCGGTGTTGGCGTCGGCGCGTCGGTTCCGTCGTCGTCGTCGTTGTCCCTCCCATCTCATTGGGGGGGTGTCGTCGTCGTTGTTTCGTCGTCGTCGTTGTCCCTCGTGGAACCCTTGGGCTCATCCCATCGGGGGAAGCCTCTGAACACTCGACCCTGGATCATACATCGTTCAGCAGGCATGTCTGTAAATTTCCACTGGTCCCTCATATTGCATTCCGTCACAGATTGTTGTCTCAGCTTTGCCGTGTGGTTGATCGATGGTTAGTTCATCGTCCTCTGATCATCGGTCCGACGTCATGACCAACGGATCAGTGATGAGACGCTGATTCTCCGGATCTTTGTTCCCCACCTTTTGCGTACGGCACACATTTGCAACGATATGGCTCACCACAGAGTCCAGATCGGCCATGGAGACCCACGGGCTTCTAGGTGCCCCACTCGCGAGCGTCCAGCTTTAGGCCCGACCCCCGTCCAAACACGTCTGGAACCAAAGCCATGCCCAGGCCAGCTTGAGCACCGCTTGAGGTCCAGTGTTTCCACACTGCATCTTTATCTAGCTCTTTGTTGTGCCCTTCGTCATCTGCATTCTCTCTTTCTCTTCTCCTCCCGTTCTTGATCCTCGTCGTTATCCACCTTCTCCTTGTCCGTGCCCTCCTCATGCTTTTGCTTTGTTTTTGCCCTCCTCTCTCTTCGCAGACCTTGTCGTTCTCGTCATGGTTCTCCTTCTCGTCGTTTTTGTTGCCCTTTCCTGCTCATTTCATCATCATCCTCGATGAGTCCCCGTCGTCCTTCTTCCTCCCCATGTTCCGCCAGCCTGTGTGTCATTTACGGATGGGCGGATGGATGACCCCCAGCTTGCATATCAGGCCACGGCTGGATGTGTTCTACGATTGTCATGATATTCTTCCCTTGTTGCAATCCCTTATTCGTGCAAGGCGCAACGAACTGTCTGCAAAGCTTGTTGGAGCAACGTAGCGGTGCACAACTTATCGGAGAAGACAATATTGCATTATTATGGTAGTGGTCTTCCTCGAACGTATGACCTCCTGTGCTCCGTCCCCAGCACCGTTGTTGAATCTGCTGCTGCTGCTGCCCGTCGCGCTTCGCATGCTCACGAGGGGGAAAGCTGCTGTTCTTCGTGCGATCCCCACCACTGATTTTCAGTGTGCCAGGATGTACGTTTTGAGTGTAGGGCTTTGACGTGTATTCTTGGTACGCACGTTTGATGTCAGTTCAGTACGCATGATCTTGGAGTGTGTTTGACACCTCTGATCGCTTGCAGCGTTCCTGATGTCTGACCTTGGTGGGTGCGTCCAGTATGTGTGTGTGTGTGTGCTATTGGTGTATATGATTGGTGTATGTTGTTAAAGCGTGCTAGTTGTGGGTGCATGTGTGTTGTTGCGTATGCTTGACACTCATGGTTTATGTTGTGCGGATGTTTGTTTGTGTGTTTGTATTGTTGTTTGTTGGTAGTGTATGCTCTTGGTGTTTGCTGTTGTGTAGCGTCGCTATTGGTGACGTGTGAGTTTAGTAATGTCTGTTTGAGGCGTATGTTGTGGATGTGTGGTCTCGGTGTGTGTGTGTGTGTGTTCTTGCTGGCGAGCACTCTGGTATGTAATTGGTACATGTTGTTTTTGTGTGCCATGGGTCCCCTTCATTGGCGTCTAGCTTATTATCGCTCTGTTTTGTTAATGAGCTTATTAGCTTGTAAGCTGTATTGTTATTATCTAGCTTATAAGCTTGCTTAATTGAACTGGGGCGATCGCGCACCTCTGCAGCGCATATCGGCCCCGCGGGGTGTCTGGTCTGAGCTCCCTCCGGGAAGGACAGGGCGAGCACGGGCCTTCCATGAGGCTGCCCATCGACTCCCCGGTTTCGCCGTCGCCCGTGGCACAGTTCCTCGCGCGGTGGCCGCTGTTGTTCGGCGGCGCGGCCAGGGGGGGAAGCAAGAGGGGCAGGTCTTCTCAGAATGCGGCGGTGCTTCCTCCGGCATTCCGAGAAGCCGCCTCTGTCTCTGGGGAGGCCCAGGCCGTTTCTCAGAAGGCCCGAGTCCTTCAAACCTTCTTTAGAAGGCCCGCGCCCTCTGACTTTCCCCCCTGGGCTCGCCGCCGAGTTGTGGATGTTCTCTTGTGGAAGGAGCTGCTTCTTTAGTCGTTGAACCCGTAACGCTCGTTACGGGGTACGGGGGGTCGCCCCCCCCTTTCTGGTAACACATGTAACAACAGCTATGGAGTCCTGCTCACGGGCATGGGGTGGTGCAGCCTCCAGACGACCCCAGAGGCTGCTGTCGTCGCCTTCGTCGTTGTCGTCGCGGTCGTCCTCGCAGTCGTCGTCGTCGTCGTCGTCGTCGTCGTCGTCGTCGTCTTCATTATCATTGCCGTCGCCGTTGTCGTCGGCGTGGTCAAGGTCGTCGTCGTCGTCGCGGCCGTCGTCGCCATCGTCGTCGTGGTCGTCGTCGTCGTCGTCGTGGTCGTCGTCCTCGTCGTCCTCGTCGTCGTCATCGTCATCCTCGTCATCGTCATCTTTCTCGCTATCTTGTGCGTCGTCGTCATTTCCGAGGGCTTCGACAGACCTGCAGACGCCTCCAGGGGCCTCCACAGATTTCTGGGGAATTTCTGAGACGGCCGTCATCGTCATTCTCGTCGTCGTCATCGTCGTCTTCGTCGTCGTCGTCGTTTCCGAGGGCCTCGAAGGACCTCCAGACGCCTCCAGAAGCTTGTGGAGACCTTCTGAGGCCTGTGGAGACCTCTAGAGTCCTTCAGCGGCGGCCGCCGTCGTTGTCGTCCCCGTCCTCGTCCTCGTCCTCGTCCTCACCCTCGTCCTCGTCCTCGTCCTCGTCCTTGTCGTCGTCTTCGTCGTAGTCGTCGTCGTCCTTGCCCTCGTCCTCGTGTCCTCGTCCTCGTCGTCGTCGTCGTCGTCATTGCCCGCGTCCTTCGTAGCCGTTTTGGCTCAAGACTTGGTTCAAGCAGCCTCGTCCAGCAAGCTGCAAGGCGACTACTGCTATGGGTGTTTGTCCCAGCACTTCGGCTGTGGCCCCGCGATGGTGGCGCTGTAGAGCAAGAGCTCGTTGCCGAACAAGCACGCATTGTCCAGCAAGTACCCCTTGTCGAGCAAGCTTTAACATTCCAGGCGGCGACCGTCAGCTACAACGTCAAGCGCCGCCTCCAGAATACCCCGTGGTCAGAAGACATGCGGCTGAATAGGCCAGAGTGCCTCATCTACCTGCACACCCATGGGGTGCGGATGCCCAAGTGCCAGGATGTTCCGAAGCAGTGGGTCCTCGACGTGGACGTCGAGTTGGGTTGCGGCCTCCTGGAGATAATTTCGGTCAGCTGTTGCCGAGTTGCGAAACGATACCCGGATCCGAACGGCGACCACCTCCCGATCTTGTTTCGGTTCTGTTCTCGCTTCGTCGCCGGCGCGCTCCACATCGCCAGGGGCAAGTCTCATTTGTCAGCTTGCGGCCGTGAGCAGAGTATTCCATTTCAGTGTGTTTGATGGCCTTCGGCCCATTCCGCCACCTTGCCTGGGTTGTGGGTGTGAGGCCTATTGGATGTTCGTTGGGACCTCGTGGAGGTCTTCCCTATTGGAAGCAGTTTGGAAGCCTCGTTTGGGCGTCGTGGGGGCCTCGTGGGGCCTCTTTGGGGGCCTCTTCGGCGCCTTCTGGGGCCTCTTCGGGGCTTCTCTGGACGGAAGGCTAAGGTTTCGGTTCGTGTGTCCTCTCTTCGGCCCTTTTTGGGGCCCCTCTTAGGCCGTCTTGGGCGCCTCGTGGGCCATCGCGGGGAGTTTTTACGTCGTCTTGAGGCCTTCTCGGAGGCCTCTTGGGTCGTTTTTGGGGTGGTTTGGAGGCCTTTGTGGGCCGCTCTTGGAGCGTCGGAATGCCGAGAAAGCGCGAACGCCAAATTCGATTGGAAACCACGAGGGGGTCAACGACTTGTGCCTCCCAAGCCCTGTTGGGAGGCCTTTTGGAGGCCATTTGGGGCGTCCTGGAGGCCTCCTGGGCCAACGCCATCTTCGGCGTTTGGAGCGATCTTTCGGCGATGTGGGGCCCTGTTGGACGGGGCTCGGGGCGTTTCGGGGCCCTCTCGGGCCCGTTTTCGGGCCCTCCCGGGCCCGAGAACGTCGCGCGGGGAGACGCGCTGGAGCCCGGGGAGCATGCAGGACCCCCTGGGAAGATTGCGGAGACTTGGGCCTCGGCGTTCTACGAGTCCTCCTCAGCACTGAGGGCTAAGATCCCAGGGGTTAGCCACAGGACCTGAGGACGCGCCCTTCCGTGCCCAGAGGGACCTTTTTGCAGATCCGATGGGCCAGGGCCGGTGCTTCGACAGCGGCGACGGCTGGCCCGCAGGCGCATTCATTAACCGAATGAGCATAGCGCATGACCAGCCCGAGGGCACAAGCACAACGGAGGAGACTATTGCGTTCAAGCGCGCGCTGAAAAACGTGAGCATCTCGTGCGGGCACGAGGAAGCCATGACCAAGAGGTTGACGTCCCTGCCTTCCCTTGCTCAGCGTGCGGGTTATGGGTCATTGCGACGCGGGCTTCCTCTCGAGCGAGCGCAGGATGCTGCTGACCGACAGGGAGGGGCGTAATGATTTGAAGACAGCGCTCGGGGAGTACTCGCGCAATCGACCTTCGACTTACGCGACCGGTCCCCTGAGCCATCATGCCCCCCAGGCGCTCAACGTGTTGGTCCAGGACGGGGTCTCCACGGGGTCTCAAGGGCGAGAACGTCACCCCTCCCTACTGTGACACATTCATCACTACCATTAGCGATGCCACGAACTGCACATTCAGAGTCAGGGCCTTGGCCACCCGCAGGCGCGAGAAATCATGAAGCTGGTGCGCGCGCGCGATCGCGCAGGGAACACCGCGAACTCCATGTCGGCGCCTCTGGAGGACTGGGTGACAATGGCCTTGGACATGCAGCTCACCTGCTTGGCATTGGGTGTGTGCGAACTGATCTCCAGGGATATCGAGGTCGCGCGGCCCCTCGTCAACCTGACTGTACTGAAGATCAACGGCGCCCTGTTCACGCGCGACACCCCGGCGGCCCAGCCCCTCGTCACTTGGCCTACATCATTCTGCGCAACGCCAAGTTCATGTGCAGCGTCGCAGCGGCGGAGCCCCTCGCCATCTAGCCGCGGATTTCATGGACACGCAGTGGTAGGCGACGACGCGGCGGTGGAGCCCCTCGCCAGGGTGGCTTCGCTGAGCCTCGCCGACGCGCAGGTCGCGGGCGACTTCGCGGCGGTGGGGCCCCCCGCCAGGTCACGGGCGACATCGAGTCGCTTGAGCCCCTCGTCTAGTTGACCACCTCTGCCTCTCTGGCGCGCAGCTCGCGGGCGACGGCGAGGCGGTGGGGCTCCTCGCCAAGCTGACTGCGCCGAGCCTCGCCGACGCGCAAGTCGCGGTCGACACCAGGGAGGTGGAGCCTTTCGCCAAGTTGGCCATGCTGAAACATTCCGCCGCGCAGGTCACGGCGACCCTGGGTTTCGCCGACGCGCGGGTCATGGAAGACGCCCGGGCGGCGGGCGTCCTCGCCAAGCAGACCGCGGGCGACATTGGGGCGGCAGGGCCCCGAGCCAGGGCGACCGCGCCGCGCCTCTCGCTAAGCAGGTCAAGAGCGACACCAGGGCGGCGGAGCCCCGAGCCAAGCTGACCGAGCAGAGCCCCCGCGACGCGCTGGTCGCGGGCGACTTTGAGGCGGCGGGCCCCCTCGCCCAGCTAACCATGCTGAGCCTCTCCGCCACGCGAGTCACCGGCGACTTCATGGCCGCGGTGCCCCTCGCTCAGGCGACCGCGCTGAGCCCCGCCGAGGCGCGGGGCGCGGGCGATGTCGAAGCGGCGGGTGCCCTCGCCAAGCCGACAATGCTGAAATTCATCGCAACGCAGGTCGCGGGCGACATCGAGGCGGCGGGGCTTCTCGCCAGGCTGACCGCGCCGAGCCCGCTGGCGCGCAGGTCGCGGGCGACGTCGAGGCGGACAGGGGCCCCGTCGTCGAGCTGGCCATGCTGGAATTCTCCGCCGCGCAGATCACGGGCGACGCCCTGGTGGCGGAGGCCCTCGTCAATTTGACCTTGCTGATTTTGGGCCGAACCAAGGCCGTGGGCGACGCCGAGGAGGTGGCCCCCCAGTCAATTTGACCAGGCTGAACCGCGGGGGCACGCGGGCCACGGGCGACAGCCAGGCGTTGCAGCCCATTGCCAAGTTGACCTACCTGAGCCTGCACAACACCATGGCCATGGGCGACACTATGGTCATGGGCGACATCAATGCGGTGGAGCTCCTCGCAGAGCTGACCTGGTTGGAGCTCTCCGCCACGCAGGTCTTTGGCGACGTCCAGGCGGCGCAGACCCTCCCAAGTTGACCGACTTGGACCTCAGCGACACTTGGTATTTGGGGCGACATCCTGGCTGTGCAACGTCCAGGCGTGAGGCTCGTGGGCTCCAGGTTCAGGACCTGTCGTTGACTGAGCGGGGCTGGTTCCGCAGAGAGCATCCGGCCTCCAGAACGCGAGGGGGGCTCGAAGATATGGGGCCTCGCTTGGCGGCCCCTTGTGCCCCTATTCCAGTCCTTTCCCTCCCCCCTTCCGTCATCGCCCTTCTCCCCTTCGCTTCCGTCCGTCCTCCGCGCCCTGTTTGCGGGGCATCGCACGCAGGCCGCCGCGACTGACGAGGGGGGGGGGCAGGGGCGGGTGGGGGGTGACCGAACGTGCGCGCGCCGCGGCCGCGGCGCCACAGCAGCGCGCCGCAGTTCCGTCTTCGCCACCGGCGTCCGTCGCGAGGGCACGCGTGTGGTTTTATACGTGATTCCGAGATTTCGAGCAGCCGCAGAGCTGGCTTGCAGTCGTACTTGATACAGAAAATCCAAATGCATCGAGGGCGATGAGATCGACTCGGTGATCGCGCTTGCCTTCGCTCTCGTCGTCGCCGTCGTCGTCGTCCTCGCCGTCGCCACTGCCGCCGTTGCGTCGTCGCCGTCCTCGTCCTCGTCCCCGTCCTCGTCCTCCTCGTCGTCGTCGTCGTTGGTTGTCGCCGTCGTCGTTCCCGAAACCCCGACAGGCCTGCAGAGGTCCCCGCAGATCCCCCGAGGTTTCTGGAGACCTTCGGACACCTTCAGTGGCTGCCGTTATCGTCGGCGTTATCGGCGTCGTCGTCGTCATCGTCGTCGTCGTTGTCGTCGTCGTTGTCGTCGTCGTCGTTTTCGTTTTCGTTCCCGTCCTCGTTTTCGTCCCTGTCCTTGTCCTCGTCTGCGTCCTCGTATTCGTATTCGTCCTCGCCATCGCCATCGTCGTCGTCGTCGTCATTGCCGTCGTCGTTATCATCGTCGTTTCGCGCCCATGCCTGCCCCCCCGCGGGGCCCGCTCACGTTACCGTTGCCTCCCCACGGGGGCCCGATTACCCCCCTTCCTTTGTAACGGGCGTGACGGTGGGAGGGATGCCAACAACATTCAGGTTGACACCATCCCTCCACTGCAGGCGTCGCCTGCAACTGCGCCCACCAGCTTCCGCTTCTGCGCGCAGTGCGGCAGCCCCACGAAGGAGAACGACAGGCCGCCGGTTGCCTTCAAGGGGGGGGAGCTCCGGGCGGAGCGCAAACATGACCTGGGGTGCAAGAGGGTTCGCGGCGGGTCCCGTTTCCATGCGACGTGGACGCGTTACGTGGCCAAATCAGGCCGTGGATCTGGCGCCCACGCGCCAGATCCACGTATGGAAGGAACGCGCTGTCGGAAGCAGGTTTGCGAATGTTGTAGCGTATAGGATCCCATATATCCAATGAGTCAACATAGTAACATATGACTCGATTCCCTAAATAATGTTTATTATTTCGTACCCCCCCCACCAGATCCGCGACCCATCCACGGAGCGCCTCCATAGGCTAACGACAACAACAATGTTGCCTTTCTGAGTCTGGACCATTTTCTAGCGCTCTCGCCTTCCAAGACAGCCCCAGATGCCTCGAAGATGGCCCCAGAATGGCCCCAAAAAGCCTCCAACAGGGCCTCAACGCGGCCCAGGAGGGCCCAAGTTGTCCGCAGAGGTGCCCAGGACAGCCCCCGCACGGCTCAAGTGCGCGCCAAGACGGCGCAAGAGATCCCCAGGGCGGCCCGTGTTAGGCCCCAAGGCGTCCCTTGGGGGCCCCCAGGACGGCCTCCGAGGGCGTCAAAGGTGCCACGAGCGCCCGAAGACGGCCGGAGACCCCCCAAAACCGCCCCACCAGGCCCCAGACAAGCGCCAACGCAGCCCCAAGATGTCCTCAAGAGGGCCCACGGGGCCCCCGAACGGCTTTCAGGAGAGCCCAAACGTGCATATTCCACCTATACGACCACTCTGCGGGTGATAAGGAGGTTGCGGGGGGGGGTGGGAGGGGGGTGGTTCATGACGACAACTGTGGTGAATGTGGTGCTGATGGCCGATGATGGTGTGGATGACGTGGCGGATTTTTGTTTGTTTTTTCGCTTGGGCGTTTTGTGTCATTCGGTGGCCGCCATCCTCAGAGGAGGGAGGAGAGGAGGAGGGAGGCGATGAATGGCAATCGAGCCTCCGTCCTAGCAAAAATGTGACGAGCTGACCGACTTGTGTCGTATGGCCTGAGCCCTTGAGCCGAGAGAAAGATCTAGAAAACCAGGCTCGAGTTAAACAATTACGGATACGAGGAGGAGAAGCAAGAGGAGGTGACCCATGATGAGCAACCATGGTGGTGTCCCATGATGAGCAGCCATGCTGAGCAACCATGATGAGCAACTTACGGGACAATGATGAGCAACCGCGATGGAGAACCAAGATGGGTAACCATCATGAGCAACCGGCGGGACAATGATGATTTCACGATCGATCTCTCTATCGATCTCACTATCGATCCAGCATTTGGTCTCACAATCGATGTCACTATCGATATCACCATCGATCTCACTATCGATCCCACTATCAGACTATGGATCTCACAATATATCTCACTATCGATCCCACTATCGATCTCACATTCAATCTCACGATCGATCTCAATCGATATCACGCTCGATGTCACAATCGATCTCACATTCGGTCTCACTATCGATCTCACTATCGATGTCACTATCGATCTCACTATCGATCCCACGATCGATCTCACTATCGATCTCACGACAGGACACCGACGGGACAATGCGGGCTCGATCTTTCAATCGATCTCATAATCGGTCTCACTATCGATCTAACCATCGATATAACCATCGATCTCACAACTGATCTCACTATCGATCTCACATTCGATCGCACAATCGATCTCACTTCCCGTGCCACTATCAATTTCACGATCGATCTCACAATCGATCTCACTATCGATATCCCTATCGATCCAACATTCGGTCTCACATTCGGTGTCACTATCGATATCACTTTCGGTGTCACTATCAATTTCACGATCGATCTCACTATCGATCCCACTATCGATCTCACGACAAGACAACGGCGGGCGACCGACGGGACAATGCGGGCTACCGCTTGACACGCGCCGGCGGGGGAAACATTTATGTTGGCGAACCATCAGCGACAGACAGGACAACGGCGGGCAACCGACAAGACAATGCGGGCCACCGCTTGACACGCGCCAGCGAGGGAAACATGAATGTTGGCGAACCACTAGCGACAGACAGGACAACGGCGGGCAACCGACGGGACAATGCGGGCCACCACTTGACACGCGCCGGCGGGGGAACTATTTATGTTGGCGAACCACTAGCGATAGCAGAATGAATTCCTCTCGCCCGCGCACGCAGCTTCGCCTCGCCCGCGCGCACGACACGAACACGAAACCGAAACCGATGTCCCGGTGGGGGGCGCCCCGTTCCACTTCGATCTCACCCCCCAACCTCCGATATGTTTCAGAAGTGCACCCCGCGAATCGACAGGAACCTACGGATTCCTAATCCGTGTTCGTGTACGCCCGATGTGTGTTCCCCGCTTCCTGGTGTCGCGATAGGACGATATTCAGGGGATAGGCTCAGGGTGAAACGCATCGCCCCCCAAACTGCCTACTGATCGCCGGTTGAGGTCAGATAGCCCACCCTGCCCAGGAGCGTGTGGTTTCGCTATGAGGGCCTATCGCCGATCTACCGGCGACGCTTCCCCACCTGAGCCTGCCCCTTTTATCGTTCCCCCCAAAGTTGTTGGCAGGGCCGATCTACTGAGACGCCAGTAAAGTTGTATGCAATTTTGCAGCAGCGTGTCAGTGAGCGGTGTCGAGGCCTTTGGGCGCAGCATCCCAGTCAAAAAGGAAGGGCAGGAGGAGGAGGCAGAGGAAACGGGAGGATGATAAGGATGAGGCGGAGGGATGACGAGGATGAGGAGGAGGAGGAGGAGGAGGAGCGGGGAACGAGAGGGGAAGGCCAGAATAAACAAATGATGCGTCGACGATGCTGCAATACACCATCCCGCCCCAAGTCCTTTCTTCAAGAGTCAACGCACGCATTCCTGATCTCTTCTTGAAGCCACCCCTTGAAGGACGAACAGTCAGCGGAAATCCCGTTCTGGCTAGAGCCCCGCAGTTCATCTTTCTAGTTTGAAGGAGTGCGAAGGAAGAGGTGGGCGTGCCCGGTGGGAGCCCCGGTTTGAAGCGGGACCGCCGTCGATCCGTTCAGTCGCTGCGTTGCTCTGCGTTTGTGCCGTTCGCCGGGAGTTAGCCTCAGCCTAGAGCGCGATGTTGAGGAGGAACCGCACCCCGTCCTTGTCATAGACCCTGCAATTGCCCTGGCATCGCTCGGACTTGTGCATTTTTTTTCGGCGAGGACCCTGGAGGAGCATCCTGGATCATCCTGCGAAAAGAACCGCGCACGAAACCAACAAAGACAGGGACTGGACGTCAGAGCGATGGTCAGTTGCGCACCGATATGATATGGGGGTGCGCAGGCCGCTCGCTGCCCACCCACACCGTCTTCACATCGCGCGTTTTGCTACAGGCGCAAGAGGGGCCCCGTGGCAATAGCAAGCAAGAGACACGACAGGACGACGGGGACGACAGACGACACGCCCGCGACACAGGCGCGGGGAGGGTGAGGGGGGGGGGAAGGGGGAGGGGCAAACAGACGACAGACGACA